GTACCAGGCTCTTATTGGACAGTCCAGTTGTCAATCACAAATAGAGCCATGTTACATAGAACACACGTGTGTGTCGGGAATGCCTTAATCCCTGTCACTGTTTCAATATCATTTCAATGACAGAAGTGTTCTTCTTTTCAACAGGTAAAATAGGCATGTTCCATTTACTGTATGTACTGTTTCACAAAAAGAGGGGTGAGAGACAGATATTGATGTGTGTACGGGTAACACATGATTGTTGTAGCATATGTCAACTCTGCTGCATTCACAATGTCATGAGGGCATCAACAGGAAAAGAAGGTAGAGAGGAAGTAAAAAGAAGGTAAGGTGAAAGTGAAAAGAAGGTAAAGAGAAAGTGAAAAGAAGGTAAAGAGGAAGTGAGAGAAAGTGATGTAAGGATCAGGTCAGACAGTCAATAAAATATATGTATCACCTGAAAGTAAACCAATTTTACCAAAATCATTGTTTAAATGGGTTGCAATATTGAGCCATGGGCCTTGCCATGTCTCAACAGGAGGGACGGTGAATACCATAAACAAAGTATTCACCAACTATAGTTTTAATAATTACTAAAAAAACATGTTTTTGTGCAGCATGTCTAACATGTGATAAACATAACATGTGATAAACATAATTCACAAGGAAACATCCGACCAAAAAGAGTTAAGTTCCCAAAACCTAATTACCCGTTCCAGGTGCTACATATGGATTTCATTGAACTTCAAAAGTGAAGGACAGAAACACTGTCTAGTCATAGTGGATGCCTTTTCTAAATGAGTAGATGTATGTATGTTCCCATCAAAAGCTGCTGATGCTATTACAGTGGCAAAAGCATTGGTCAAAGAGATTATACCAAGATGTGTGACAATAGAAATTATTACATGAAAGAAGTCATATCAAGCATAAGCCAAAAGATGAAAATAAATTTAAAACACCACTGTGCTAAAAACAAAAGAAATACAAAATTCTAACTCTATGCCAGATACACAGATATACTATATCTTTGCAGGGTGACGGTACGCCAATCCAGGTCAGCGACTGGGTGCTGATAAAGGTCATCAAAAAGAAGTAAAAAGTAAAAGTAAGAAGTAAAGAAAAAAAAGGTCGAGTCCAAAGTGGGAAGGCCCATACCAGGTCCTGCTGACGACACCTATGGCCATAAAGATAGCTGAACGACCATCTTGGATTCATCTTTCACATTGCAAGAGACAGAGGTTCTTGGTACAGGATCCAATTGGTTGAGGGGAAGTCCAACTACAAAGGGGTGTAGCTATATAGGAGCTATACGTAATTAATATATACGTAATTAAGTAATTAATTGCAACAATTGAAACTATACTTAAAAACCTGATGACCTATATGTGTTTTCAATATTATGTCCATAGCCCGATGTGAACAGAATCGACTGCCCTGTAGAGGATGGTGTGAAGACTGGAACATGGTAGTAGGATATACCGGTCAATGGATTCCCACAATGCCAGAAAAATGTGTACAGAGACAAAGACATTTGAAATCAATTGAAAATCCTACGTGATTTTTCCAACACCCAAAATCCAATTACTATGTCCCTGAATTGGACTAAATTACTAACGGGGAGTAATTGGAAACTCTCTGGTAAAACAAATCAAACTGAAATATATTTGGTCCTTGGAGTAAATCAGACTGGAGTAGATCTAATGGGATTCATTAGAATAGTAATTAGGAATGAAACAACGAAACATGACTTTGTTGACACCTGTAACTCAATCTTCCCACCAATTTCTAATAAAACCAAAGCAGTAGCATTTACTCCTCATAAAGGCAAAGGAGACTATGTGTGATATGAAAATGAATGTTATGGAAAATCTAGCCTAAGGAGCCATAATGCAGGATAAGAGAATTTGGAATTCATCAATGATAAACAGGAGGGAAATGTTGAAAGAATTTAATTTATTATCATTGCTTCATGCTGTACTGTCGCTTTAAGAAACTGCTTCTCATATTATAATCTAGTGTGCTCAAGACTGATGGAGAAATTACCAGTCACACCCCCATTCACACCCACCTTCTTACTCCATACCCATTCATATGCTCACACACGATCACATGATATGTAATCTGATACTTTTATAAACCCAATAAAAGAGCAGAGGAAGGGTGTGGCTACTGGGAGTTGATGAGGAAGCTGCCAGAAGAGTAAGTTGCACTCTCCCCTTGCAAGAAAAAGATCCAGACGTATTTTGTGTTGTTACTTTGTCATATATGTAAACCTGACAATTATTAATTTCCTATTAATATTTCCTACCTCCGTTTGACACATTAAACTTGATTCCAAAGTCTCCACCAGGACCTCCAGGGTTATGGCTGGCTGTGAGGATGATCCCTCCAATGGCCTTGATCTTCCTGATGATGCAGGAAACAGCAGGGGTAGAGAGGAGGCCGTTGTGGCCAATAACCAGGCGTCCGATCTGCACAGCACAGACAGATAACTCAAATTTGGACCTGTATAAGATCCACATTATTATAGGATTTACAACAGTGGTTAAGATTATGAGCTTCTTCATCTGTGACCTGCATTCTGTGGTCATACCTGGTAGATTCAATTAAGACTCAACTCAAACATCTTTGTGGTGATTTGGGTTTAAATTACCTTAATTTCTATAAGTGGACTATAAGTCGCTCCTTTTTTTACTTTGAACCCCGCGGCTTAAACAATGATGTGGTTAATTTATGGATTTTTATGGGCTAACGAAGTAATACCCCTAGCGATCAGTGACTTTTCTGGTAGGCTACTGTGTGTTATACTAGTAGCATATGTCTGTCTGTGAATGGCTATGTGCATATATGTGCGTGGGGCACGCACAAGAAAGCGAAAGTTGAGAGCAGTTTGATCCTTGTCATGTTAAAGTGTGAGTTGGTTATACAGGAGCTGTTCAAACGCTGTTTGACTACTGTACTGTTAAGCATTTATGTAATTAAAAGTGAAATCTTTCTGTGTACCATCTTTCTGTGTAAATATCCCATGTTACAAAGTGGATACCTGCAGCTCATAGAGAAGTGTGACCTATATATGTACAATTATTTTTTTCCTTTTTAAATTTAATGGGTGCAACCTACATTCAGGTGCGCTCAATAGTCCAGAGATTACAGTAAAAAGTGAACAAATGATAATTAATTTAATGTTTTGACAACACCAAATCAAATGTGCATTTCTATCATTATTTGTTGATCAGTTGGTAA